TTTTTTTTTTTTTTTTTTTTTTTTTTTTTTTTTTTTTTTTTTTTTTTTTTTTTTTTCTTTTTTCGCTACTTTTGCTACACTCCTTTTCTTTCGTTATTACACGACGAACGACGAACGTTTCGTAACGGACCGATTACCGATCGAACAGCAGACAAAATATCTATCGTTATATTTACGTTTCCGCAGTAAAGTATCCATACTTTGCGTTATTCGTATCTGTTCGTTTGGAGAAAATATGCATGCACTTATATTTCATCCTATACACCTGTGTTTCTTAGCCGCTTCTTCGTTCCGTTTGGACAGACAACACGGATTCATCCCCGCATAAATGATAACGATATTTTCGTTTGTTTTTAATTTTTCGGTTAAACTTGTTGTGTTTATTCATTTATTTATTTATTTATTTATATTTTTTTTCAGGTTTTTCTATCATATCGTTTAATTCCCTGCCCCTTCTTTCTCAGTGTGACCGTGACGATTGCGTACGTGAGCGTGCGATTGCGAGCGTGTGTGCGACACAGAGGCTTGGTGCCTTCAAGTGCACGAATTAACCGTTGATTGCGTTCCAGTGCCGGGTGATCCTCAAGACGTGAAAGTGACGCCGATCAATTCGACGGCGATACACGTCGAATGGAAACCGCCAAAGTCGAAAGAGCAAAACGGCGTGATCAGAGGTTATCACATACACGTGCAAGAAGTGAGGGAAGAGGTGAGGAGCACCTTTGGTGGATCGATTGCCCCGATTCTCCGCGGAACGAACTAGGGAGATGGATAGATGTTTCGTTTCGTTTTCCAGGGGAAGGATCTGTTGAACGAGCCGATACGACGCGACGTGCACGAAGGCGTGCTGGAAGTGAACATTACAGGGTTGCAACCCGACACCAGATACTCGGTACAAGTGGCCGCTCTGACAAGAAAGGGAGACGGCGATCGTTCGCCGCCGGTTCACGTCAGAACTCCCGGAGGTGTGCCCAACAGGCCTCACGTTAACGTAAAGTACGTACCTTTCTTTCTTCCTTTGTATCTTTGAATTTTTCCCCTTCGAATCGATCTTTCGGTTCGACTCGGTTCGATTCGGTCCAATTTGGTTTGATTCGGTTCGATTCGGTTCGATTCGGTCCGATTCGCTCCGATTCGGTTCAATTCGATTCGGTTCTATTCGGTCCGATTCGGTTTGATTCGATTCGGTTCTATTCGGTCCAATTCGGTTCAATTTGGTCCGATTCGGTCCGATTCAGTTCGATTCGGTTCTATTCGGTCCGATTCGGTCCGATTCGGTCCGATTCGGTTCGATTCGGTTCGATTCGGTCCGATTCGGTTCGATTCGGTCCGATTCGATGTCATCGATCGCGTTTCCAGAGTTTTGTCCCGAGATCCCGAGCTGCTGGAGCTCGAGTGGTCGCAACCCACGCAAACGTACGGCGATCTATTGGGGTACAGGATAAGATACGGGATTAAGAATCAAACGTTGAAGGAGGAGTTTATACAAGATATTCACCAACACACGTATAAAATCACCGATCTCGGTAAGTTTCGATCCCCTTCGATTCTCGATCCCCGAATTATCGGCCGATTCCCTCGATTTTCCTTCTTCCGCAGGGGAGAGAGGCGTGGATTACGAGTTCAGAGTGGCCGGGCAGAACGCGATCGGGTTCGGCCAGGAGACCGTGCGATACTGGTTCAGCCCCGAAGGATTACNCACCGGCGCCCCGACCAATTTATCCTACTTCTTCCAAACACCGGACACCGTGTGCGTAACGTGGGACATGCCTCTCCGAGAGCACAGGAACGGCCAGATAATCGGTTACGACGTCCAATTCAACAAGAAGAACGATCACTCGACCACGATTAACCGGAACACGACG